AAAATTATAATAATCAACAGATCCGCCACACAATATAATATAAACTACAGCCACATAATAATAACAACAGTACCATAACAAACAAGCATTCACGCAGACATATTTAATAACAATTTTATAATATTAAAAATATTATAAGCGCTACAAGATTTACGAAGGTGATTGTCATAATTTAGTATCGTTCATTAATAGGATTCATTCAAATTACTAAAAAGCATGACATGTGACATTTATCCATCTGTCACTGTCACTTAAACGTCCCTTTGACGTCTTCCTTCTCAAACTCACCACCAGTTTTATTCGCATTCCCCCTGCCTTTCTTTTTGAAGAAATTAGTTTATATTCGAGTATGTACGACTTCAAACTAACAATTTTATATACACAATATCAGTCGCATGTATTTGACAAAAGTCGAATCAAATGGTCTAAAGGGAGTTATTGCGATGGCTAGTCATTCATACTTAAAAACTTACAAATGAAAAGAATAGAATATTTACAAATAAATGACGTCACTACTACAATCCATCGATGCGCGCGCACTTACAATCACATTCCTAATCTTGTCACACTTATCATACACAAGTTACATAGGGGTGCTATCTCAATCACCTAGAGCTTAACTTTACAATATTCGATAGCATATTTATTTATTATTTTCAAACCTGAATTTTGAGAATAGCACCCTACTTACACGTGTTTAGTTTTTTATTATATTTATAACTCATTAACAAGTTTTAATTCTTTGTGCGATTCACTTCCGAGTATACTTACTGCGCTGGATACAGAGACGGTAAGATAGGTATTTGACTTTTTATAAACTTATAGCATAATATAAATTATAGAGGTATTTATGTTTACTGTAATGAAATGAAAGAATACATAGGTATTAAATAAAGGCGAAATTAAAAGTACTATTAACCGACAAGCATGCATGAAAAGACTGATGACTGTTGATGAAGCGAAAAAGGTATGTAGCATAGCAACCGTAACAACTGGCGTTCCATAGTCTCTGCCTACCCCCATGGGAGATAGGCATGAAGTTTATGTATGTAATGAAATGAATGAGTTTACTTTTGCGTGTCTCATTTCTGGAGCAGACGACTTAGATAGAGAAGTCACGCGAAAAACTAGTTTCATCTATCTCTAGATGTATTCAGGTTTTTCTAGCATTCTACAAGGTTCATTTAGGTAGGGGTTTTGGACTAATTTGGACACAAAATTACAGGCTTATCTTTTGTCTCTTGCGCTTGCTGTGTCTTCTCTTATCTTTTACTTTGGCATACTTCAAGCATATCATTATCCAGATTTCGATTCATGTCAATATTCAAAATTCGTTGTAACCGTTAATTTATATACATTTAATTAATAAAATAATATCTTTACAAATAGAATCAGTTCATATCATTCAGTGCTTCTAAATTGGTAAAAAATACGTTCATAAAATCGATGAAAACACCAATTAGTCATCAACATATTCAGTTAATATTGGCACCTACTATCATTTACCTAAAACTTTATTTTGCGTTTTTGCAATTTTACGCTATAGAATGAAAGAAATCCTGGCACAAATCATTTCTGTGAGCCAAACCATTTATTATGCGGGTACGAAAATAAATATTGAATTCGCTCGATAGCTATGTTCATAACAAATAAGTCAGCACCAATGATTACTGTTTCTACTGGGTCGATCCCCCAGCCCCCCTTAAACATTTTGAGCTGGCTGACTTTCTTAACAACTTAAAATTACCCTAGTAGTGTCAATGAAGTAAAAGTAAAATACGTAAGCACCTAGCCATCCATTTCAAGAATTTCCAGATAAACCCAAATGATTTTGGACATAGCTAAGTAGTCTTTAGCATAATAAAATGCTTATATTAATTGCTTCCAGGACACTTCAATGAACAAACCGGAGTTAGGGAAAGTATGTTTACTTGATTAGTTTATTCCATAACCTAACTAGGTAATGGTGGCACGCTTGCTCGCACCTATTGCTTTATAAACCGTTTATTTTAATGCACGACTAACTTTAGCCTTATACTTAGCCTTTGTAGTAACATGTACTTAGATATAAGTTAGATTTCTGTCAGCACTTAACTTTAATTTTGACCGCACAGTTGGTGTGGTGGCTGGGCAACCGGCTGCCGTGCAACGTGTCGCGGATTCGATACCCGCACGGAGCAAAGCTTTGTGTGATCCACAAATTGTTGTTTCGGGTCTTGCGTGTCATTGTTTATGTGAACATATATGTTTGCCCGACACAGGAGAATATCCTAGTGTGGGGCAACATTATTAAAAAACACAAAATTTAGCCCATTTTTGCAGATACCTACTTAATTATTTTTTTTCTTTCTGTTATTTTTCCTAATCAAAAGATTGTAGGTAAATTACCTACATAAGCCGTGAAATCTATTTCGTGTTCGTCCCGAAGTAAAATTGTTATGTCTTGGTACCTAATACAATGGTTTTACAAAGAAATAAAATGTTTGAAACAAAAAATAACTGGTGAACCATTGCCAAAAGCAAAATTCGAAACTTCATACGAACTCATAGTAGGTACTTACATTATCAAAACATCACGCCATGTAATTCTCGAAGACGTATTATATCTCGTCGGGTGCCACGTGCCAATAGTGCCTACAAAACGTCTAATGTTTCCATAGATGTAATAAAGAAATATTTCTGTGAGAGTTTCATGTGCGTATTTCCTAGGAACTATTTTTTGAAACCTAAAATAAAATACAATTTTATTTTGTTGTTTTTACTTTATACATCGAAAGTAGGTACTCTTTATGGCAAGATGTTTTGCCGCGGGATGAAAACGAAATAGGTTTCAAGGTACATACTACATAGGTACCTAATAATACCTAGTTATATACCTAGGTACCCAGTTAGTAGCTACTAACTACTAGATACTATAGCTACATCTAGCTAGATTAAGCTGTACCTTTAGATAATAATCTACTCTAAAATACTTATTCACTGATGCACTATTATTTCTTCGTAAAATGCTGCATGGTAGCTACCATACTCAGCCGAGTAGGTACCTATGCAACTAGATAACATTCTTATGCATAGTGGAACTAATTTACAATCTTATGCCGTTTAGCTAAATCAGTATCTACGTACTTTTGGTTTGATTTACCGGATTGCTATCAATTTTTTAGTATATACATAAAATCTATGTGCCTAATTTACTAATGCTATCGCACTTTGGCCCGAAAAAGACAATGCAAATACCTACTTTAATACAGAATGACTGGTCATTGAATATTTAGGCATGAGGCTTCTTTAATCGTTTTAATCTAGGTATGCATGATTGTTAGAATATAATTAGGTCTTTAACTTTTTTTATAATAACTATCGTGAGACATACTAAATTAACTAATACTGCGGGTTACTCACGTGAATATACTGAGAAAAGCTCTACTAGTTTCGAACCACAGAGGGGCTCTTCCTCATGAGCAGCGTGCGCGGTCGCGCAGCTCCTTTAACTTTTGTTTATTATGTAAAGTGCCTAACCGTGCCAATTTATTTATAATTTATTGAATTTAAAGTCAACATTTTAAGCAAATTCGTTTGAAAAATCTGTACAAGCGCCTATTTCATTATTATAAATACATAATTCCTTAAAAAAGTACCTACCTAAACATAGTTACTATGCGTGGAAAACAATTGACATTTGGGGGTTTTTCGTATGGAAGAATTAACAAATATTCAAAGTAATTCCTCAGCTAAAATTATTGATCTGGCGTTAAGTAAAAATCGGCCCTAAGTCTTTATAGACTTGTATAACAGTATGACTACTGTTATTTGGTTGACCTTAAAACTATATTACCAGATAGTTCGAAAAACTAGTACCATTTTTGTATTTAGTTACCCTCCAATTATTGGGCGAATTACTTATTTTATCTAATTACCTTTCTAATTCACCTCCTTTCATTTGTAGGTACTTCAGTCTGCAACGGCGACAGCGGTGGCGGCATGGTGTTCAGGATGGGAGGCACTTGGTACCTTCGTGGACTCGTCTCCTTGTCGGTAGCCAGGCAGAACGAGTACCGTTGCGATCCGTCCCATTACGTCATATTTACAGACTTAGCCAAATTCTTGCCATGGATCTACCAGAATGTTTATGATTTTTGATCTTGTAACGTTTTTGAAGACTAATTTTGTTTACGAAGCGAATGCTGCTCTGATCTTGCACAGGCTACAATTTTGCGCAACTGTCATTTTATACGCAAGTCGGTATATTTGCGCAAATGATATTCTGCGCAAAAATCGTTTGTTTAATAACATCTGTTTTCATTTTGATAGATGAAAATAGAATTATCATTAATAACTTAAGATTTAAGACGAGTTTAAATCACGCTATATCATAGATCGCCGGAATATTTGCTCACAATCATAGAAATTGGCGAAAAATTTGAATCATTAATTGAAGCCTCCTGAGATAACCTAAACAAAGTTAGTCTGCAAATAAAGCTACGCCATTTTGAAACGGCAGCCATTTTCTTTTAGTATAGGTTATTTCTTTTTAAATTTATTGATAGCAGACGAATTTATAATACGGAAGAAGAAATGTTAGGAATAATTTATAGATTTGACAATAATGGCAAATATAACTTAAGTAAGAATAAGTAAAACTTGGAGTTTAAAAGGACGTAAAGACATAAAATATAATGTAAATGTTGTTACGACTTTTTGATCTCAATTAATCGATGTTGTCACAGTAAAAAAGTCATATCATTTTTGACTCTTGAAATGTTATCACCTTAATATTTAAAAGCTACTCTTGTTTTGTTTCTTACGTCTTCCTACATCTTTTAAAATACAAAAAGAAAAGAGATAGAAAGACGAATACAATAGAGTAGTTTTCAAGTAGGTATATTAGTGCAAAATGAATGGCGTTAACCGTTACATTTGAATATGGAATTAGTATTCAAGATGTTAAAGTACAATTTACTGGAAAATATTGACATGTAGTGTAATGGCCTCCTTTAAAGGTATTGTGCGCTAGCGAGAGCGATAATGACAATTTAATTAACGTAATATCCTAAGTACCTTATTAGGGCTTTGACATAGGTACGAAATGCTACCTTATTGTATCAACATAAAGCCTATTTTATTTAAATCACAAGAAAATGTTTTTCTCTTTATAGAATTAGTAATGTCCAACAAAATGCATAATACTGTAGTTTTGATATTAAAATATTGTATTTATTTAGACTGATAATTATAATTATGAACAATCAATACATTCCAATTATACCAGAGAATTGATTTACTTTTATTTACCTCGTCACATTTTACAGCAGACCCTTTACATTCCTTTTCCTCTCCTAATTGTAAGAGGCGGGAACTTAGTGCCATATACCTAAGCGAACTTCGAAACAAATCTATACAAAAACGTAAGTATATAAATATTTCATAGAGAACCCCGACCTAAAATCTTTATATACATATATAATTCTTCTGTGAGTGTGTATGTCACTGAACTCCTCCTAAACGACTGGACCGATTTTGATGAAATTTTTTGTGTGTTCAAGGGGATCTGGGAATGGTTTAGATTCACAAATCAGCCCGACAGATGGCGCTGCAGTCGAGTCTAGTATAATTTGAATTAATTTTTGTTTATACATTCAAGTGGATATGCAGGACAACGTCTGTCGGGTCCGCTAGTCTAAGTATAAAAACCTATATTAATACAGGGCGATTTATAACTCTACGTATTCCTCTCGGTAGGTGCTAATACAACTTATATCCTACAAATTTAGCCCTGAGGTCCCAGGTCCGAAAGTGGCTTGTTTCCAAGATATTCAACACTAGCTGTGGCCGCGACTTCGTTCGCATAGAATAGTGATTTACTGCGCTTACCCCGTAAGTGACAGCGAGATAATATGTAGCCTATATGTTGACCCGACCTGTTAGTAATAATCATACAAAATTTGAAATAAATCCATGTAGTACTTTTTGAGATACATACAAACAGACAAAAATTCTAAAAACCATATTTTCGGCTTCAATATCGACTTATAGATCACACCTCAAGTATTATTTAAAAAATATGTATATTCAATGTACAATTTTGATTTTTTTTTTCGATTTTATTATATTTAGAGAATATTTTTTTATTTTGGTCAAAAAGCTACACGAACCCCAACGTCCCGAACTAACTACAAAAACAACAATGAATAAAAAGCTACTGGTTTAATTTAAGTGGTTTAAGTTTTAATTTACGGTTGTTGGTTAAAATGTAAGGTTGGACGCGGTTTTATGCACTCAAATTATTGTGCATAACATAGTAAGATTATAGAGTACCTATTTCAATAGTAAATAGATACGATTTTTGTACTGCTTACATTACAATTTCTTTTGAATGACATTTCTGTTTCTATGAAAATGTACCAGAGCCCCAGAAGTAGCAAGAGTAACAGAAATTTCATAGTGGGTTTCCTTCACAAAAATACGTCATTTTCCATTCATGTCGTCGACACTTCTCACTTCGGACTTCTTCGCACTTCGGACAAGTTCAAACATATCGAGTAATTGATTCGTGCGCGGCGGATTTTTTTTTTATACCACGACGGTGGCAAAAAAGCACACGGCCCACCTGATGGTAAGTGGTTACCGTGGCCTATGTACGCCTGCAACACTTGGGGCATTACATGCGTCTTGCCGACCCTTAAAGAACCTATTCACTGCCCTCTTGAAGAACCTCATGTTGTAGCCCACTGGGAAGACCACGGCAGGGAGCTCATTCCACAATCGGAAGGTCCATGGGAGAAAATTCCTCTGAAACCGAACTGTACGGGACCATTTTGGCTCCAATGAGTGAGCGTGAGCCCCCTGTCGATGGCGAGCGGTGCGATGATAAAAAGTGGCCGTGGGCATCATATCAAATAGTTCCGCAGAACATAACCCATTATACAAGCGGTAGAATACGCACAAAGAGGCAAAATCTCTCCTTAGACTTAAGTGCTCGATACCGCTCGTAAGTATAGGATCGTCAACAAGTCTTACAGCTCTCCTTTGGACCGCGTCAAAAGGCAAGCTGGTATGCTGGCGCTCCTGCCCAGAGATGAGAGCAGTACTCCATATGGGGGCGAACTTGCGATTTATATAAAAGCAGTCTTTGTCCCGGCGTGAAGTACCGCTTCGCTCTGTTTAGCACACCGAGTTTTTTAGATGCCAGCTTGGCCTTGTCTTCTAAGTGACTACGGAACTGGACGTCACTAGATATGTCGACACCAAGGATACCTATACTGCTGTTAAGGGTAGTGTCTTGGAATTTAGGGGCCACAATGAATGGGGTTTTTTTAGCGGTAAACGCACAAAATTGTGTCTTGGAGGGGTTGAACCGGACCATATGGTCCCGACCCCAATCGGAGACTCGGCATAAGGTACTCTCGATTTGAGACACAAGTTTTACGCGGCGATTCTGGCGATCTTCCGCGACTCAGGACTGGGCCTAAATGTAGGCCCCTCTAATGACTTTCAGATAGGCCGGTTGGAAACTATTTGCTTTATTAGGTTTTTGGGTGTTCTGTTCGCCCTGTTGGGACGCAGGACGCCCTCCTGCGTTTATGACTGTTTCTTATATAAAAACCCAATAACAAACTATCTGACAAAGAACTAAACAAAATTAAAAATGGTCGCACTAAACATATCTTCGTAGGTCGTATGGCTAATGATGAGTGACAAGGAGGCATACAAAAATTTAAGAAAACTGATGATGACAAAACTGAAATAAAACAAAACAGTAGCGTATAACATTTATAATGTTATTACATATAGAAGAAAGTCTTGTAAATAAACAAACTCAATGCAACGTAATAATAAAACTATAATTACAAAAAAAATACACAAAATTTACAAAAAAAAAGGTCTTACGTTACATAGGGAGAAAATACATACATAGAATTGTATTTATTTCATTTCATTCAATATGGCGAATACCATTATACTTTATTATTATAATCTGAAGGCTTAGTGTCAGTTAGCTTTGTGTTTAACAAGATCTAAACGTCACCGCGTTGGACGTTGTTTGGTTGATCTATTCAAGCAGGGCAAGCGCGCATAATTCACGTTCGACGCTCTGATTGGCCAGCTCCAATGAACCAACCAATCAGAGCACCGAACGCGGTGCGTTTCGATTAAAGTTTTAACGTAAAACTCGTACTAAAGCCCTCTTAGCTGACTGCGCCCTGCATCTGAGTTTCCTCTGGATAAATTTCATAAAATCATATCATACACTCATAAATACGTATAGAATTAATATAGCTAATTCATTAATTATTATGTTTTATCGGCTTACTCACGTAATTGTTTTACGAGGAACTCGACTAGTTTTAAAACACACTAGGGTCTTATATTCATGTGCATTCCGTGAATTTAAGTTACAATACAAACATGACTAATGCACTTAAGTCGGTATAATTTACTAGATTGAACTCCCGACGCAAAACGTCTGTGGCATGACATCTCTGGAACAGATCGACCAATTTCGATGAGATTTTTATGTAACAACGAGTTGGGTTTTCACAAATTAATGCTACACTTGATGACTTTCAACATATTCATATTGAGTTGTTAAAAATAACATATGTTATGGCTACACATTATTGCGTTCACCTCTGTCTAACAGCATACGAAAGAGAGGAATAGCAGTAGCTTAATGCCATATTCTGTCCTGCTCACACATAGCAGTAGCATATTCATATTCGCCATATTGAATGAAGAGAAAAAGTCTAAGACTAAAATGTAATGAAAATAGTTAAAAGTTATTTTCCATAACAAAATAAACCAAAATTCATGGCGATGATATAACTAAATAGTTATTCATCAAAAAATCATGAGCAAAAACTAAACAAACCAACTTCGAGATACAAGTTAGAAAAAATATGACGAACGTGTGAAAAAAATTGGCGCCATCAATTTTTTACGTGGAAATCTTCTTATACATGGAGCGTTATATTGAATAGGAACTTTAATACCACACGGTAAAGCTTATTATAGGCAAACACACATTGCCACATAAAAAAAAAATCGTATGAAAATCGACCAAGATTACAGAAGGTTTAGATCGACTTTACTATAGCAGAGGCAAATTCGGGTGCTAATATGACTTGACATTGAAAAACGATCCTTATAACCTTTCTGTTCTTATCGCTTTCATATGTAATAGCAGTGAAAGTACACGATTAATTTAATAAAACACCACAAACTTTCATAACGTACCATTACCAGATATAAAAAACCTTGTTTAGACTTTCCACGTAAAAAATAAATAGCAAATAAAACCTACAAGCGCACCGTTGCAGCCAGGATTCTAAATTACCATCGCTAAACCCACGATCTTTTTTTAAAAAATCCAACTAATTACACTGGCAGTGCATTCAAAACTCATTTCCATTTAAAAAACAAATAATGCAAAATGCACACACACATCTGTACATTTATATTTACAAATTGTAACCTACATACATACTTGAGTCCATGTGATAATATAGAAAAGAATGTAGTGTTAAAAACTTCTTTCGTTCAACAGCTGTGTTTGTTTGTAGAATTTCAACCTTAAACTTTTGTAATAAAGTTGAAAATTAACAACTTCGCGATTGATTCCTGTCGAGGCTTGGATCTAGGAAGGTACTTAAGTGACATTGGGGGTAAATAAGGACTATAATAATTAGCATATTAGAGATAGAGTATACTTTTCCATAACTAAACTGTTTAGAGAGGTTAATAAAGACTGTAAACTTCATAAATAAAATGGCATCACACAAATACGCACTTTATGTCGCTGGCTTAAGACTTGAATTGATGAAAAGTAAGTTAGTAGAATGTTAAGCAACGCAATATCATGGGCACTAAATAGGTAAATGAAAGAATTAGGCTAGAATGTAAGAAAGTTCCTTATTCCAGAGGAGAACAACGCACAATGCGTCACTATAGATAATATATAAACTTTTACTTATATGAAACACTTCATACTTATAAGAAAAAAATCTGATATATCAGAGGCACCTCTCTACTGTTAAAGACTAGGCGTAGAGTTGGGCGTTCGTTACCATGATAAATACTATTTGGAACCCGGCCAATCGCGGAATTTTCATATACTACGACTCATGAAGTTATCAAAACCGCCATAAATCAATTCTATAGTAACATAATGGACCAAGTAAGTATACGTTACTAAAATAACTAGTCTCGGCAATCGTCCTCACACTATTTACAAAGTACTGAGATCAAATTCACAACTGCCTAAGAGTTATAAACATTTCTTCATTATTTTATAAGCGAATCGTACGGTCTTGTACTAGGGGATAGAACATTTCAGTAGAAAACTACTCTATCTTTAATGGAATAAAGTCCATGTTTCAAAACACACTAATCTATCTCGTTCCCCTTTTAAAATCTATCCGTTAAACCCGAACGTTTGATATTTGAATATTCAAACGTGGAACGTGAGGCCATTTTGAAATGCTGTATCGGTTACCAATATGGCGTGGGTGCGTTTCTACAGCGTTGGCCTTTGTAGCGTTCCTCGGCTCCATAATTAGGGGCCCAAGGGAGGTTCCTGCCTCTACTTGCGCGTGAGGCCCCTTTACCTACGTAGTTAGGGGGGTAGACTCTATTGTTAACGCAGACCCCGGGTCTACAGCCGTTCCTTGGAGTGGTGGGGTGACTGCCGGGCAGGGGTGGGGATGAAAACCTTTCCCACGGGTCCGGCATCATACAATTACCGCACGTCCACGCGTAATCACCTGTAATATAAAAATAATTAGTAGACATTTTATTAGAAGACTAATATTCAGCAAAAATACAGATGTATGGTATTAAAAATACAACAATTCATGAATAATATTTATTTATACATCACTATTTATCGTTTGGCCAAAGTTTGGAAGAATACTTTTGCATTTTCGTTCGACCTAACCTTAGTTATTACGTACACTTTAATACAATCACAAAATACTATATATCATAATATTAAAATTATTAATATTTTTTTTTTGTATATTTTAAAATATTATAACGCTATATAGCCAATGTTTTTCTAGTATGACATAGTCTAATAAATGTGAAAATTATCATTATTCATTATAGGTCTTTAGTATTAGGAAAATACGTCTAGGATATCTAAATCCTGTACCACATATATTAGACTACGCCAATATAAATAGGATGAATGAAAATCGAGAAAAAATACATTCCTTAGGTGACTTTTCACTACGTTTTGTTCAAAATATTTAAAAAGAAAGTGCATTAATTATTATTATCAAACCAACGAAAATTCAAATAATATAATAATAATATTCGTTTCATAAATACTATAATCATAATATCTCATATATTCTTTTTTGAATAAGCAAAAACTACAACTTTCATAATCAATTTTACAGTCAAATATTTATGGAAAATTAACCACTAAATGCGACATGCTAACTAGTAAATAATTTATTATCCAAATATGTTTTATAACAGCTAAAATATTCGTAATAATAATAATTGAATTATTATCATAAGAAGAACTTAATTTATTATTAGCTAATAATTTTTTATAAGGCCAATTATAGTGGTTAACCGATAGTAAAGACTAACAAGCAAAACTCGACTAAAGCACGTGCCATTTCATATCACTATAACATTTCAATTTTAGAACTTATTATTAGTATTTCCTCAATGTCAATAAAATAAATAACTCTGTCAACTAACAATGTTCTAGATTCAAAATATATTTTTTAAGGACAGCCGTTAACAAAGTCTTTTTTTTTATTTTACTAATCGGTGACTGTGGACATACTTTATACTTGGTTTGCACTACGCTAGCATTTTAGTCGTGCAGCGAGTGCTTAGTAAATTCCTCTCGCTTCTGTCCCAAAATCGAAGCCAGACAGAGTTACTAAATACTGGCTACTTGACTGAAATACTAGCACAGTGCGAACAATGCATTATATCCCGCCTAATGGCAAGTAGCAATGTGTTGCCGACCATTAGGACAGTATTTAATTACATCACTATTTTAGGGTTATAAAATACGTACACTACACAGGATTTTGAAAACCTTAAGAACCCCTTTTTTTCTCAAGAAAGGATCAAAATCTATTCAACAATTTTAGCAAATGTAAGGGGAAACTTTTTTAATAGCTACTAAATGTAAACAGCCCGTATGCTTAGTCGAGTTTTAACACGAAATAACATAGTAACATCATTCTAATATTATTATTATTAAAAATTATAATAATCAACAGATCCGCCACACAATATAATATAAACTACAGCCACATAATAATAACAACAGTACCATAACAAACAAGCATTCACGCAGACATATTTAATAACAATTTTATATTATTAAAAATATTATAAGCGCTACAAGATTTACGAAGGTGATTGTCATAATTTAGTATCGTTCATTAATAGGATTCATTCAAATTACTAAAAAGCATGACATGTGACATTTATCCATCTGTCAGTGTCACTTAAACGTTTCTTTGACGTCTTCCTTCTCAAACTCAACTCTAGTTTTATTCGCATTCCCCCTGCCTTTCTCTTTGAAGAAATTAGTTTATATTCGAGTATGTACGACTTCAAACTAACAATTTTATATACACAATATCAGTCGCATGTATTTGACAAAAGTCGAATCAAATGGTCTAAAGGGAGTTATTGCGATGGCTAGTCACTCATACTTAAAAACTTACAATTGAAAAGAATAGAATATTTACAAAGAAATGACGTCACTACTACAATCCATCGATGCGCGCACTTACAATCACATTCCTAATCTTGTCACACTTATCATACACAAGTTACATAGGGGTGCTATCTCAATCACCTAGAGCTTAACTTTACAATATTCGATAGCATATTTATTTATTATTTTCAAACCTGAATTTTGAGAATAGCACCCTACTTACACGTGTTTAGTTTTTATTATATTTATAACTCATTAACAAGTTTTAAATTTTCTCAAACATTTACGTTGGTGAACCACGATAGTACATTTCTTAGTAATACGCTTTATTTAGGCACAATTCACATTTGGAAACTAGTTCTAGCATTCTAGACCTACTCCCGTGTCCAGTGAGGAATATTGAACTTAGAAAACTTACATAACAAAATGAATATAAATATTAGTGACTAAATGACTTTAACCTATCTAAACTTAACAACAAATAGGAACATAATGTTAGACGACGAAAATTAAATAAATATCTCTAGTTTAATCTGTATTATCGACAGCACTAGCTGTCATATTGACGATGTCATCTATCAAATGTGACAGATGAATACAATTTCCCGCGCAAAGAGTGGTAACACGCGATTCTAGTGGGAATCTTGACGAGCATCACGCTGTGTTCTTATAAGAATCCGTTTAAAATAAACTTTTCACTATTCAAGTATTAAGTTTTACTTAAAAATAATAAGAAATCTTAATTGAAAATACTTAACGAAGGACTAATGGAAATTCCGTGATTAGAAAAACATTCACATGTGAACATTCTAAAATTCATTTAACAAACCACACTGATCTACTAGTCCATTCAAAGTTACTTTGCGTAAAACCAAAGACAGAAATTAAACCTAATAGCTCCTACATTTAGTTAATCTATTCCATTTTTATAAAAAAAAGTTATTCCATAGTTGCATAAACGCATTCAATAAACACTAAAAATTAATTTAAACATACTGAATTAAACCCCCACTGAACTCGATATCTTATCAAGAGTCTACAGTTATATAGTAATATAATACAAGTTATGTACTAGCCTAGAAAGGGACGAGAACATGTGATGGGTATCAGGACATACATCTATCTCTCTCTTTCATAATCCATATTTTTACTCGTTATTTTCTTACACTAAAACTGTTCCGATATATTCACTATAATAATATAAACTACATATTGAAATAGCTAAGCTTAAACGGGCTAAACTTTATAGATAAAAAAAAATATTTTGTCTTGCAACATTGAAAATATAGTGATGTAACACGATTTATCGACTAATGGAACACGCTATATATTTTTATTCTGTGCGATAACTACTTAAAGCCAATTTCGAATACTTTTCCTTCTGTCAATATTATCCATTTTAATATAAATCTATACTTAAGTCCGGACACCCATCACAGTGGAATAGGAACGTAGTCGATACGGGAACAACACTCATAAACTCCGAATCTAATGAACGTACGAATCACCGCTGCATATTGTCAATGTAATTCCGGCATAATGAACGCTTACTTGAATATAAATATGTATCATCGTATATGTATAATTAATTTTTATAATGTAAGTGTGTAGTGGCACAGAGTCATTAAAATGGAGAGTTACAAAACTTATAGGTAGATTCTAAGTACAACTTCTTTCACTTATCTGTAAAACATAATTACATTTACGATAAAATAATCTTAAAATGACTTCAAAATTCAACCTATAAATATTACAGCAAGGTTCACATCTCCTTTCGATATAGTAAGATCAACATAACTCGAAGAGATCGGAAGAAGTTTGTAGGTACTTCATTTTTACATACCTACCCCGTACCTAACGGAATACAGTGAAATATATGAATTGGCTTCTCTAATCTATACTCAGAATTTTAATTCGATTCCAGATTTGACAATTTCAGTGTGGCAACGTTATGACAAGTACTAAATAGTGACGTTGCGAAATTATTCGATATGGAAATGCAATATTTCTGGATCGATTCTTCTCGTTTATAATTTTACTCTCGTAAACTAAGTATATCAGGAAATTAATATTTCTGTACTGATAATTTAGTTTTGACGATTAATTAACGATTTGAGACTTTTCTTTTATAATTATGTGTGAAATAAATAAAAAAATGTAATCATGAAGGAATATGACAAATAAAACAGATAGATGTATAATGGTAATAAGTTATTTTATAAATTGTCGCCGTCATCGCTATCGCTATCCTGTCACTTTCTGTTACATTTATTATAAAACACACACACTGATTGTTTATCGATTTTTGTGTGCATCACTACACTATTATATGTGGTATCATTATTTCACAAAATGACAGTAGCTATTGTCAAATCTGGAATCTAATTAAAATTCTGACTATAGTAATATCTTTGAAAGTCTCATTATGTTTTCTCAATTTTAAATATTTTCATATCACTTCGTACTTCCATATTAATTTCTCCGTGCCATCCACTCCCCTACCCACATAAATCTAAAATATTTTATACGCAAAATAGCAATATCATAGTAAGTCACATGCGCTTTAATTTATCTAATGAACTTTTAAACGAATGTCTTAATTAATATAGGAAACGTTGGCTGCTTGTTGCGCTAGACCGAAACGCTGTCGGTCAACGGAGCCCCCTCCGCAGACGGGGACAACGCTAGAAAAACGAATAAATATTACGTCACAGAATCGTAACACCACACAATTGCACGGCTGGGGATGTCAAACGTAGTGTCAACTCCATTTAACACATAATTACTTTTTATTTATTTCCAAAAGGTTACTATATGACATTTCAGTTTAGTTGAGTTATCAGTCATCTTTCAGTTTTTAAAATGTAGGAATCTTGAAATCTTTGAAAAATTCAAAACTCAACAAAACACGTTGCCAAACTTGGGATTTAAACTCTAAACTTCATTTTTATAAAGTATAAACCAGCTGTAACTTTAAAAGCGCAGTAAATAGTTCTGTAAATTTATTTTTAATATTACAAAGCGCAAAGCTGACAAGTCTGTATGTCTAAAATAAGCGTTCATTACGCCAGAAGCTTTCCAATTTAATATGAAACTATCGATGTGTTTCAAATCAATACTTTGTACATAATCATCTAGTGCAACAATTTTAATACGAAGCTTATAGTAACGAAACGATGACATTTTGCGCAATAATTGTAAATTAGGTTAAAAAGCGAGTTTTGTATTATGAGCACTTGAATACTTTATTGCGTAACTATGAAATATGTCTACTGCACTTACAGATTCTGCCATACTGAGTAGCGCAAAAGATGCGCAAAGCGCAACGGTCGCGCTTAATGTTTCTGTATGGCTCACACAATTATTAAACGGAAAATGATAGGCAAACTAAACACTTTAAGCTAAAAGCATTATGTATGATATGTCGAGCTCAAAACAATACATATACCCAGTAATATTCTCCCGCTTTTTAACCTAGCTAACCAAATATTGCAGCTAATGTTCATGAAACCAACAGCTTCAACAATATGGTGCTTAAAATATTCCTGTTACACTATAACTGCATAAGATCTATGTAAAAGCGCATATCTGGTCTATAATCACATATTTCATTAACAGTGAGCTAACAAAAAGCTTGTATTTATACAAACGATCTAGCTACAACGCTGTTTAACAGACAATTATATATTTATTTCTATTGAGCACATTATATGTTTTTTTCATAAGCCGATAATCTGGTAACGTTGTTTACACAAGTGTATATTTATCAACAACAAATGAAAATAAATCGTCTTGCATTTTGCGCAAGTATATGAATCTTTGCGCAAGTATATGAATCTTTGCGCAAGTATACGCAACTTTGCGCAAACATCTGATACAAGAACAATTGATAACTTCTGATATCAACCAAATGTAATTTTCGATTCAATGTAGATATTAATTTAAACATTTCTTGTATAATATGTTAATGCAAATCAAGAACGAGCAATACACAACAAAAATATCTTTTGTGTAAACAACATTACGAAGATAAAAGTAATAAATTGACATTTGCACAACTTATGTTATTAAATGATTTCGTTCATAGTTCAGACATCTAGTACATACATAATCTGTTCAGACCAACAGTACTGTAAACATTTGCTTATAATTACAACCAATATTGATGTAATTAAGTAACAAAAGTCATTTTTTTAATCAAATAAAGCTGCGAATTAAAAATATTTAGGCGGAAACAGAATGTCTGCAATATGCGTTACACTCATAATCCTGTAACGTGATACGCAACTTAATGGTGAAACGTCACATGTTACAAGTCATGTTGTATGTCTTTATTGCTTCATATATTTAGTAGACAATGACCTCAAGAGCCAGATATTAGATAAATACATGCCTGCAACATGCAACCTTGCAACATGTCTTGCAACATGGTAAACATTCTGTCCCTTAGGAAAGAGGCTGTAAAACAAAATTCATTGCAATATGTTGTGTCAAATTAAAGCTTTTGTAGTATGAATACTAAATTGTTCAAGAAATATTTTACGATTTGGTTAACATTGCGTTTTTTTACTATGAGACGTCTATAAGTATAGAAAGTTTTAGAAAATTGTAGAATTTAGGTTTAACAACATGGTTTTTGTGCTGAGACAGGGTCCCTCAGTTGTATATGTTTTCAATTTTAGGTTTTGTTTTATTTACCTTGTGTTGAGTTGAAAATTTAATTGAATACATTTAAACTGTCAAACACCAAGCGGTTACCGGTGACCGCGACCTATTGTTCTTTAATTGTGTCTATAAAACCGGTACTCGACGAGTTAAAAACTGACGTAATTAATCTGAACAGCATTAAGGAACGGAATTTCACTTTTTCATTTACTTGCAAATTTTATGAATTTTTTGAAAATACATAATTATATCATTGTTTAATGATTAACGATAACCGAGATAGTAAAAAAACTATTTTCAACCCAATACAAGCTAAAAAAAAGTCACTTTTTAACACACCAATTGTCATAATCACTTTTAAAAACATCACCTCAGTCGTAGTTTTTTAATCTTGCAACAAAAACTACTTGCTTAACTGGCAACACTGTCGAACGTCGCCACAGATAATAGAAGTCATGTCTATTATAGTTATGAAGCTTAGGAATTCAACAATGGATTGGGAAAACTACTGGCAAATTATGATTAAGGTTTAAATCACTCATATACAGGAGCGTTCTTGTGGGAATTTTTGAGAACTCCATAGATTACTATCTAATTTATCATTGTTCCTTATTATAACATTTACACCGTTAGGGGGTGGGACAAACTACAATAAAATATTTTACTACAAAATAATAAATATAAGAAAATCAATCTAAGCAAACGTATTTGCAGATAAATAAACGATAGGAAACAGTAATTGGACTTTTAATTCAATTTAGTAATTACAATGCTCGACTTGGCTGGTCAAGCCACGGATTATCTTTTATTATGTCTTACAAATGTATTTGATAGTGCTTACAAGTTATTCAACACTTAACAAATAATATAAAGTGTATTATCGGCCTTACAGCCTAGTGGTACACGAAATTGTTGGAAAAAAGACCTGAACGAAAATTAGTCCAAAACGCTGAAAGCGAAAGTAGTACAAGTACGAATAAGTGAGTCAACTTTGGACTGCAGATATAGAAATTTGAACCATTAGCGCCAACAGATAATCACAAAACCGAATTAAAAGTCCAATCCATAACCAAATCATACTCAAAAGACGTCTATATTAAAAATAACAGCTCCTAGTCTAAGAACCGCAATATACAAGCCCCCACCAGTCCTCAAAAACTCCCACAGTCACCTTATAAATAACACCAACACTATATTACACTACTAAAATGAAAAGTCCATCCGTCTATATCCGTGTATCGGTCAGACGGAATTTCTTACAATAAAGTCCTTTTCAAAATGGGCGATGGTGACTCATATAAGACGGCTGGTTGAAATAGTCACGACGGAGGTATCGGTTGGACAAGCCACCGTACATTCCGTAATTGGTCGTGTAATCTTGCCGGCTATGCAACATGTCGAGTTGGTCGAGACTGTGGTGCCGTTGTGGAGCTACTGAGGCTGTTCCATAGGCAGCGTGCACACGTCAAAGGGTTTATTGTACGTACTAAGGTGAGATGGTGATTGGTTCCTTTAAAATTCATGGAACCAACTAATGACATAATTTGGTTCAACACTTTATTTCATGTTTCTTCCAATAAGTGACAATATCCAGAAATTAAGCTAAAATGTATGCCAAATACATCGAAAGACATGTGACAACTTTCTTGAAGACAAAAGTAAACATATACTCATCCTGAAAGTCATATTAATGGCGGTACAAAAGTCGATTATCGTTAAATTATCGATAAGGGAACAATCGTACTTACTCACCTCTATTATGGTGGAAGCCCGCCGCCCATCCCGCGTAGTACGCTGCTTTCTGCTTACCGTGCTCTTCAGCCACCTGGAAATAGAGTACAATCTATTAAGAATATAGTTTAAATACTTAAAAAATTATCACATACACAAATATCTGGAAAATCAAAAATATCCGACAGACATCGATAAATCTTAAAACTTATCGACACATGCAGCCGTCTCTAGTATTGATATCCAACTTCAAAATGGGATTGTGGATATCGTCGTTAGTGTGAATGATTGAAAGAAAGAAAAAATTTACCAACTACCGAAAAATGAAGATTAGCTACCGATAAAGAAGCGTTTTCAAAGCCCAACCAGAAATATCAACTTCTCAAAAGATTTTTATAGAACTATTTTAATCACTCAATTAGTATTGGCAACTTAAAAGACTCTGTTCTATTTTAACAATTTTCTGACCAGGCAACAAAAACAAAAAAAGAACCGGATTAACCGCTGAAAAAACGAAAAATACGACTATAAAAGAACAGAAACGAGGACAAAATGCGAAGGCGTGATGGGTTAATGATGAAAACAGCACCGTCTGGTACTAAGGGCTACCCGGCTAGAGACACAAGGTTGTCTTTCTAAGGTCGTGAGGGGTACAGAAGAACGACCGTGTGCCCCCAGCGAGGTGAGCCTGGCTCGCACCATTGTGTCACTGTGGAGTCGCAGGCGACTGTTGGCACGCGACACGCCGCGTCTGTACACAGCATCGCTGCTGGTCGGCTGCAGAGAGACATCAACAATAATTTAGACCCAACCCCGCCAATACATGCACCCCTCGCATGCTTGTGTCACTTCCATGAGTATAGTGTTGATTCTTGATACTAATGACTTGATTAATGACCTTGTACTTACTGATGTGAACACTTATTTTTAGTCTGTGTTCTGTCTCAAAAGACAAGAGTCCAAGCCAAAGATAGTATAGTAAAAAATGTTGAGTAGTTTAAACTATAGCAGTTAGTAAGAAATGTTATAATGCAATAGTTTTACATTGTAAGATGTTAAAGTTTAAAGAGTTAAGAAAGTACTAATAAAGAGTTTAAGTTAGTGTAAAATTAAGTTTAACTAACAGTCTAATAGTGAAGACAAAGACTTAAGTTCAATTTAAAAAACATTAAAATGTACTGAACAAGTTCCACACTATTTAAGTATTATTCAAGAAAATGTAATATTTTTTAGATATTTATAGATTATTTTTATAGTTACACACCTTGACGCTGAGTGGCTCAGTGCCGCCCTCTGGTATCACATTGTTTAGCGCCGCTATCGCCTCTTGCGCCTCTTCACGCTTATCAAATCTGTAAAAAACATTAGATTTATGTAAAAAATTATCGCATATTATATGATTTGCATGCATTCTTATTTGACATACTATTGAGTACCGTATTAACATTTAGTGACGGCTCAGTAAATAGGCTCTTGTCTTTATCTACAATACTAGCTGGTAGCTAGTAAATGCTCGATATAATTTTATTTTCTTGTACTTTATAGGTCAACGTTGAATCTTGACCAGGTTCAGATGTCAATATTAAAGGTGATAACCATAAATACTAAAGATGATACCATATTCGTGATCAGACCAATTGACAAAATTTTTTGGGCTTCTGAAAGCCATAAATATTTAAAATTTTCACAACATATAATTTTTTTTTACGTTTCCATGGCTTACCTAACAAAGGCAACTCCACGCGGCGTTCCATTGCTCTTGTCCCTGAGTATATGCTTCTGCACTATCCTGCCGTACTTGCCGAATATGGTCTCTAGCTGTTCCTCTGTGATGGCGCGCGGTAAGTTCGTCACGTAGAGGTTTGTGTCTTTTATATCATCACCTGAGGGGCGCGCGTATGAGACCTGGAAAAGATTAGCGACCCGATACTATCATACACCCAATGAGAATATTCAATATAATATATTCATATTGAACAATATATTTACAAAAGTGGATACATATGTTCATTTTACTTTTACGTAAAGGTCTAAATGCCTAAGGCAAAGCTGTAAGTAGAAAGAGTAATAAAAGACAAATACAAGTTTGTAATACCTTTAACCGTTTATTTCTGAGCTGGTATCCGTTGAAGGTGTCGATGGCCCTCGCGGCGTCTTCCTCCCGCGTGAAGTTCACGAAGCCGAACCCGTAGCTGTAGCCAGTCTACAAACAACACCATCTGTACTTAGTGTCGTAGACTAAATTTAATACGAGGACAAGACCGACGACTAAAATACAATACCGATTACTGAGGCCTTAGTACAAGTTTGATTTACGTTTAAAGTATTCGAAACGAGTACGCGTTCGGCAATCTGATTGGTTGGTTCATTTTAGCCGGCCAATCACAGCGCCGAACGCGTACTCGTTACGATTACTTTAAACGTAAAACAAACTCGTACTAAGACCTCTGAACCTTCAAGAACAAAAATTTTAATGTGCCAATATAGTCTTTACTCCTGCACGCCCTTTCCAAAGTCAGATAATAAATGAAATGAAATAGAGTATAAACAGAAATTCATCATGTTACCAAAGACTACTCAAGAACTACCTACTGCTTGTTTTAAGGGGGGACAAACATCGAATGATTTCTCCCGCGTGGGTGAGGCGGAAGGGAGTGTCAGACTCTTACCGACTAAAAACCACCCCGTTCTTACTCCTACACTTCGAGCCGAAGCCCTGGCAAACCGATAAGTCCTTCGCGGCTCCGTACTACCTACTGAACTACCTACTATAGCATGTCGAACATAAACCCATATTGTACGTATTTCGCTTTTGATGCTTCTGTAATAATTAGGATAATTAATACCACCTACCACATACATTTCTGCACTACCCAAAGGATGACTGGCAGAGAATGTTGTTAGCGTTAAGTCCTCCTTACGCAATTGTGTAAAACTTTAATAAATAAATAAAAAAACTCAAAAGATAAACACACCTTGAAGTCCTTCATAACTCGACAACTCTCTATAGGTCCTATGGTCATGAACATCGCGTACAGGTCCTTCTCAGTCATGGTCTGCGGTAGGTAGTTGACGATGAGGTTCGTCTTGCAGGAGTCCCCTCCAGCGGCGGACACCCCGCCGCCCTCCGACATACTGCCCCAGCAGCGCGCACCAGCGCCTGCCCTCCCTCGATACTGCTGTTGGATTTGCTACAACAACCATCGTACAATAAATTGCTTTTAATTATCCTTCTCCATTCAGTTTTGGCAAATTGCCAGAAGCGGTTGTCTGGCTTATGATACTTTTTACATTGTACTCGTAAATCGTACAATATTTGCAAAATGGATCAGCAAATTAAAGGCATCAACTGATTTTTATCAAGAGTTAAGGAATCCAATTTACTTAGGTAGTCGCTTAAAATCGTGACAAAGTCAGCCAGTCAAATAAAGTTATGACATTTCCTTCAACCAAAGAAAATTGTATCATTAAAAAGAGCTCTTGGTTACATTCGAAACTTCGAAAGGTCATAAAAAGTTGAGTTAATAACCGAGGTCAAACAAAATCAATTAAAGGGCTTGTAAGGGCTGCTAATCTACTGGATCGATCTACAAGGACGGAGCAAATGTCACCAAAAATCCTTGCCTTTGTGAAAATATGGAGAATATCAAAGAAACCGTGCGTTTCTATATTTGAAGAGCAAAAAGCGAATCGTCTATAGTGAGATAACTTTGTAAGTATTAATTTCTTGTAGCCAAAGCCAATTTTGCACTAACGGCGAAATAATCCAAAACTTGTTTTTACCCAGCCTCAAGCGCGTGAAATTAGATAGAGCCCCTGGGGAACTAGATGTTGTTATGATATTTTGGCCAGCCTCGATTGACCTAATATTCTATCAGTATAATACTGTGATACTATCTATTGTTTATTTAAAGCTTGGCTGAGTAACTAGAATAAAACAAGACTAAGATGGAATAATACTGGAAGTTGTATATCCTAACAATTTATTCAATGAATTACATAGAAAAGGCTGCTGATTTCTTGGGGAAAAATGTGTATGCTATTGTGATATAATTTTCGTCCCGTCATGTTAAGAAAATAAAGATATACATATATTCCATTTCTGGAGAAATAAAGATATTATCCATCATTCTATTAGGTACAGAATTCCGGTCCTCGTGTTGTAACAAAAAACTCCATATCAAAAGCTAATAATCGGAAACTATGATATCGTGCTCGGTGATTGTGTAGGTATAGTACCTACTAACCAAATATAACCTTAACGCAAGTTTAAGTGAAAGAATAAAACAGCAGTAATAGCCATAGTTACATAAACGTACAATTCAGATCTAAACTAGCTAGTCGCTAGCTGCAACTCGAAAACTGTTGGGCAGACACACACCGTAAATCTTATCGTACGACCGGAGCCAAGAATTAGTTATAAAATTCGCAATCCTAGAGTACCTACTGAAATTCAATTACCAAGTACATTTATGTAGAAGAAAAATAAAAGTTGTAAAAAGTTTTGACTTATGAAGGTTAGCTCAGGGCAACGTTGCGGGCCCAGATTTTTTGAATTAGTTTACAGAATGGTTTCAGTACGAACCAACTTGAAAGACAGGCATCATAAAATCTTTAACAATAAAAAGCACGTATTTCAACCTAACAACTTCTACTAAAGATGCTTTAGACAGATTTCTAAACTAACGAGATTCTCCTTCGATAATATTGGACCTAAAGTACTTAAAAATAATCAGGCCACAGCAATTTCCGTCACCGTTCATTTTTAACGAGTCCAACTGTAATATTATTTAATTGAATTCGTTCTAAGCCTTATACGCACGTTTAATTATATTATCAGTTAAGCGTTAATAAATAAAATCAATTATAATAATTAAAATGAAGTATTTGGTTTAATCATGCCAAATATTAGACGACCAATTTAACATGCAATAGCCATGATTGCGACAAATGCTCCCATTTCTAAACGTTAATTGATATTATTTATTAAAGTTTGTCGTTGTGGTAAAGGACTATGCTATTCCCGGGAGACATTGTCGAGTCTTGCTACTAATGGATTGATAGATGCTACAAGTAAATACTGATCACGTCTGTATTTTATCGTACAAAGAAATCGAAACGTGGGTTCATTAAGCCTAATTTTAGACTTTTAGCACCTAAGAAATATCCACGAAAAGCGAACAAATTACTAACTGAAATCATTGCCGAAATTGCCAATTTGATCTGTTCCGGAAGCCATTCCTCTTAATGCCTTATTACTTCAATATTCTGTTATATTACGCAGAATTTTATCACGCACTTAAACGGGTCAACTGTTTGGAAGAAATGGTGATAGACATCACAACGAACGACCGCTCGCCCCAAACGCATACTTTGTAATTTTTCCAGCTCTTTTTATTAACAAAATGACTGGCACATTGTACAAGATACATATTCATCAGGGCTGGGCTGTGTCAATTTAAAACAAACAAACAAGAGCCGGTAAACTTCACAATCAAACGAAAAAACCAGGCAATATAAGCGTCCCTGACCTAAAAACCTGTATACGGACGTACCACTAGATTAACTCACTCGATTTACACCTGAAATAATATAGAAGAGAAACTAAAGTCAAGTTTAAAACTTAGACCATCAAATTAGATTTAGGAAGAACAAGCACTGAGCTCTAAAGTAATCACAAAGTGAAGATCTTTTAGAATTCATGACTTCCAAAGATTCATTGGTAGTTTTCTCTGGGAAACTTTGCAAGAAAGTTACATCGACCCCGAGTTTCTCGTACAAAGTTAAAGAACGTGTGCATAGCCGACTAGATGGCGTCATAATTAATGGCAAATGTGAGGATATGAGTGTCATTATTCAACTCGTTATTAATAATAATATGAAGAGGATCTCCCTTGGAGGTCTAATTAAAGGAGCATATATTTCAAGAGTAATAAAGAGCTGCAACAAGGAGTCTTCCGAAAGCTGTCGCTTTTGTAACACATTGTCGAAGACAGATAGGGCCAAGGACAATTATGAGTCTGTATGATTTTATTGTAGACATTAGTCATTATTCGAGTCTAGGAAAAACACCATTCGCAGACTTTGCAGTGCATCGACACACGCTGAACTGAAGCCATATTTTGCACGGTTTGACGTTAGACAACAATATGAAAACAGCGTAAAGTAAGCGTGCTCATTTCCACTAACGTCTTGAATTGTTAATTTCCTTGTGTCGTTCAAAATAAACTACGTCAGAATGAAATGTACGGATTTAATAATAGTGAACCGAAAATAAACCCACGCAAACACTTTTTATACATGGCAAACTTTTGTTGGGCCTGCCAGACCATTTTGAGCGACTGTTTCTAGAGAAATTGGTTTAATCACGATACCAGGAAGATCGATTCGCCACTGTACACAAGCTAGCCAATTTCGTTTGATTTCTTAGAATAAAACTAGAAAAATCATAAACTATTATTATTAAAGATAAACTGTACTGTGGTAGAGGTTTTCAAAACTGTTTCACTATCAGATCGTAGTTCTGAGAACGAATATGATAAAAGACTCCGCAATCGATGACATATTCAACTGCAACGGTTACTGTAAGATGTAGGTTAAACAAGCTACGAACTTTGAAGGGATAAATATTACACTAACGTGACCCCTTTGCATTCTAGAGTTTAATTTTTTTATAACAACTTTATGTAGCAAACCTCCTTTTTCGAGCCTTCGTGCCAAAAAAATATTAATCAAATTATTGGCTTAGCGTAAACTGTCACAATGTTATGTGTATAAAACAGGCAAAAATGGGTTAGTGGGTTGTTTTGCTTGAAGACGTTCATTTTCATAGTTACTTAGGTTTCATTAGGACTCTTGTGAGATTAGGTGACTAGGATAAAATGCCTTTATGTTTTCTTTTCTTTTTGTACAGAGGTAAAGAAGTTTAGTCTCATAAAAAATCTACGAATGTTAAACGAACGTCTACGAACGGGTCTAAACTTAACACCTACGTAAGTTCTAATTTTTTTCTGCTATAACTAACTAGTTAACTACTCATTACATTACATATTGAAAGATCTATTGGGGACACGATTGAAAAAGATAGTAGCTCCACGGTACGTACTACGTATTTCGCGAAAATTCGTAAAACTTGATTAAAAAAATATAATAGAAAAAAAACGTATTTAACTATAAACCAAATAGCAGCTGCTAAAACGGAAACAGGACTTGAACAAAAAACATCCGTAGTGAATAAACAAGTGCCTAACTACAAAGAGCCAGAAAAAATCTATTATTTCTGACCACCAAAGCCACCCTACATCTTCCACTGGCGTTTGGTGTCGACAAGCATACTGGCAACCTTCCAATGTAAAATGGAACTTGCCTCTTTAGTAAAGCGTTAGTTACAAAGCTCATTAATAATGGCCTGTTCAGAGTATCATTAGGCATAGTTTTTTGAATACAGATTTCAAAACGCCTACTTTGCAAAATTATGACCCGTTTTTTTATTGAGACAATCTTGTTTTCTAAGAGACGCGACCATATGATAAAACACGATTCAAGTGTTTACGAGAATACCTAAGTCACTTACATCTTGGTAATGTATTACAGAGTAGGGTAATCTTATGGTTACTGTGCAATCAGAATACTTAAAATAAATATTGTAAAGAGTTCAAATATCTAATTAGAAAAAAGTTTTTGCTCAACCATAAAAAAAAAACTATTAAATGTACTACATTTTCGAAGCAGATTACAGGAGGTAAAGTTGTTTATTTTTTTATTCTGTGGGGATTCAATTACATAGTGATTCTCAATCTGTGAATCAACTTTCATCTGTCGACATAGATTGATTGATCTATGCTTTTAATGTCTGCTACACTGCCAGAATCATTTCCAACAGGATTAGCAATTGGAACATTTACTGTTCTTTCATTATTTTAATAAGAGATATCTTTTCAAACATAATAGAGTATTGAACATGATTCGATTATTTTATATATTTTTAGACATCATAATTATATAAATTAGGATAATATTAAATTATTAACAGTCAGCCGTTGCCACATTTTTAAGGCTGTTTTAAATTACATAAGAATACGAAAATAATGAAAGCAACCAAAAGAGATGTTATAATTCTAATGCTACTTGAAGCAATTTTTACTTACATCCAAAACAAGAAATGCAACCAAATTGCAACTGTGCAGACTTCCGAATTAAAATAATTATTATGAGCGCACCCAAGATTATGTCAGAAAAATATAAAATTTAAATAAAGTGTACAATGAAAAAACTGCACCCCTTTGCGCTTCAAACAAATAACAAAAACTGTTAATTTTCAAATTTTCAACCAACTAGATTGATTCATTGATCTCTATGGCTGAAATTCTAAATATGAGCTTTATGAGCAATGACCAATGTATCATGACAAGTGATGTGAAAAAAAAAACTTATTTGAATCATGTAGTTTATTTATTTAACTATTTCAGCCATGATCATCCCTCCTTCCACTACTCTCTCTGTAGTTTAACTTTCGTTAAAAAGGTAATTTAGTTGAGAGATTTAAAATTAATTCATTTCTGCATACTCATTCAATGTCATAATTTATCTAAAGTTTAGTACCTATACAAATTAGTCCATAAATATTAATGTCTGAGATGGTAACACACAATGTATTTTTAATTTAGTTTTTGGAACTTAGCTAATGCTTAACATGAAATAAATAGGAGTGATGAGAAACTAAATTAACAATTAATTAATGTAAGTAGAGATAAGTAGATGGATACTTACATTTTCCAGCGAATTGAAACTCCTGTCCCAACTACTGACAGGAGTCCCTCCAAACAAGTACCCAGGATATCGTTCACACATTTATTACACTTATACAACACACCTTTCCAATAAATATAATATCACTAACTTCTATTTATATATTGAGCAATTACTTTTATAACAACATTTTTAATCTACATACATCTTTAATTAAAACTATTTGCTTTACAAACTATTTAGTCTGCTTGCTGTACCTGGAATGAAATAGCAACTATTTATTATCTGTTACTTAAATTTTTTTGATGATCAGACATGTATGAGCCAATCAAATTTAAGGATACTGACCTCAAGGTAAAAGGTCAAGATTTGTAACAGTGTCAATGGTTTTTTTAAAAAGCGGGAAATAATAGTTTTGAACAAAATAACCTATCATTTAAATAGAGACCCAATTAGGTCGGTTTTTGCAAAGCATTTTCTTATTAGAATAGGCAATTATTAGAAGTACCACTGTTAGTGCTAAATCTTATTATTTATTACACATTGAAGATGTTATCCTTTCTAATTAGGATAAAACTTATAAGCATAAAATATTTGATTTTCTTATTGATTCCATTTAATTAGGGAATCCTTACAAAGAATAAACCAATAGTCAAACTAGACAATATTGTTACACAAAAGCAAACAAGAGCTACAAAGAAATACAACGCGTAAACAGAACAACCTATCGTTAAATATTGTTGTTTTTATTTATAATAAAAAATTAAGGGATAATAAAAAATAACAGATTATTTACTTGACCATTTTTGACAGCGTGGTACAATTTTTATGTCGATTAAAATATATCACTCTAATGATTTTTGTATAAGCTTACTTACGTTTTAGGAGTAAGAAACGTTGGTTTCTAAAACCTTTGAAAAGTAAGTGTCTTTTTAGATTTTTTCTGCAAATTATTAACAATATCGTGACAAGCGCAGATCTGAAATTCTGAAACTAACCATAAACTAAACCAACTCATTCGTTCAATAATGCATTCATTCATTCATAGTATAGTATTCAACATCGGTTGCCATTCTAAAAATATTGTACTTAGCCCTGTTTTGACTTTATTTTTATTTTTCAAGATTCAAATAAAATTTCCGAGAGTTACAAATGCCTTTAATGATTTCGTAATTATAATGTACGAATCAATGATAACACTTGTTGAGAATATTTAAGGAGTAAATGTAAGCACAAATAGCGTTTCATTTTCTTTGTTTTTTCAAAAACAGGAGAACAATTTATTAATTTTCTGTATTTTTCATTTTGTATAATTAATGGCATTTTGTTTTAAAACTTGTTAATCACTTCCGTATCCTTTTAGACTGGTCACACCAAGTCCGGAGTCATCAAAAAATGCTCACTGCCCGCCAGCGCCATTTTGTTTTCTCGCATTGAGCAGTTTGTGTGGTACTTACTGTTCATGTGTTTATTCGTCTAAATTTCCATTTATTTGGAATGAATTTAATTAATAAACTGCGTATGTGATACTGTGAAAGATTTGTGTTTAGACATGTCTAAGAATTAAGCGCGGTAAACAAGGTTTTAGAGTTATATAGGTAAGTGTGATGTGTGAAATTTTGATTGATTGAGCTATCGGGACTGGCGATCAAGGAAAAGTAATATTGTTCTTTGTTGGCGTCCTATTGTATGCTGAGATGTCGATAATATTTACTACTCTGGCACTGTATCGATTTATTCACGCTGCGGTTTTATTTTTACCATTTATTTATGATATTATCATGTTCTTAAAATTGGCTTACTTTCGCGTCGGACGAAACGATATTATAACCTCTTTTCTTCATTTTGATTACGTGTTTTTTTCAGTATTCGGTGTTACGATCCAATATCCATTATAAATATGTACTACGTACTCGTAAAAATTCTTTGTATAATTTGTTGTATCCGTGGTACTATTTATGGAAATTAAACTAAAAATTAAACTTGCTTCGTGAAATTACAGTCACTATAAAATTCTGATACATAATCATGCACGACAAGTAAAGAAACGCCGTAATAAATATCATCATCAACCACCCATGTCAACAAACATTCTGTACAAAAATAAATAAACAGATAACGATTGAAATTCGATGTATTTTTAAGTCTACGCAACTCTTTAAAGTATCTGTAATATGATCTCAAAGCATATTTAAATTCAACACTTATGCAAATCAAAAATGGACAGGCTATTTTCGTTTTTATAGGTACAAGAAGTGCGGACATCCACAATGAGTGTCATCATTAGACTACAAAACCTTCCATGGTCTGCAAATGCTCTGGACATTAGGAATTTCTTTCGGGGCCTCTCCATTCCCGAGGGAGGTGTGCACATCGTAGGAGGCGAGCTTGGAGATGCGTTCATTGCGTTCAGGTAGCTATACGTAATATTCAAATAATGACACAAGGCATATGTTTAATATTTTCTATGGACAAATTTCATTGAAAATATCCAAAAACTTTGATCTCACTATATTTAAATAATATTAATTATAATTTAGGAGTAAGTTTGTTTTAATAATTATATTTGTTGTTAATAAATGGACAAGATCATGTCTGTGTTTATACCCAAAAAATGTTTAATTAGGTGCTTCGAAAAATCTTGACGTAATTTAATTATGCTTTATCCATAATTTGTCTGCACTGAATCGACAGGACAATATCACAAAACTGCAAATATCAATATCCATAAAGAACCTACAAAGAAATCTTATGCTGGCAAAATGACAATTAGGTACTAAATGAAGGATTTCATTACATAGAATATTTTAAACTGATTATTACATATTTTATTCTAATGATAACAATTAACAGTTACACAACACAATAGTAGATTCGTTCAACGATTATAGGATTCTTGTTCTCTTAATGACCACTATTAGATTACAACCAATTTAATTTTAATTAATATTCACACAGAAAGGTGATTAAAAACGTAATAGCATTTTAATAAGTATGTGGCATACTACTACAAATCACGCTAGTGCGTATCTCGTGTACAAAGGTTATGAAGCGTAGAATATGGTTGATATAAAGTAGTAATTACTTCCAGTCATGTTATTGTCAATAACACCATGCAACCACTTCTTTCAATTTATGAAATTTCAAGTATGGTAAGTATCAAATTAATTTGTTTCCCTCCAAATTTTGCTATTAGCTAAAACATAACTAGATACTCCTAGTTATACCAGAGATGGGCCTATGGAGATTTATTGGTAAGTATTTTCTTTACAAAGCATTTCTTTTATTTCTTTTGGTTTTTCCAATAAAAATTCTAAGGACTCCGATAAAATTTTCAACCAATCACCGGTTTACCTTTATAAAATTTAATTATGTTCTTTTCGTTACATGTTTTAATTTTTTTTAAGCTGGTTACTTTTATATTGTATTTCAATTTTCTTCCTTTTTTAAACGAACCCTCGAACAGCTATCAAAAAGCAATAGGATAATTAAAATAATATCTTTAAATGATAATTATTCTGCTTTTGGATCTTAAATGAAATAAAATATACATTTAATTTTAGTCATCATGGTTTATTACATCTCATTCTCTAAACGACTGCTACAATACGGGCATAGTACCTACCCAAAAGTCTTTATTATTTAAGCATTATCAATGAGCACGAGAAAAAAATGATGATAAAATAACTACTAAAAATCTAAACTTAAATCTGTAATTTTGAGTATTTTTAAGTCTTAGATAACTGAATTTCTGATACTTCACTGACTTTATTTTGGTGGAATGATCTAAGAATGTCTGATAAGTGAGACTCTTTGATGTGCTCAACATAGCAATGCAGCGCCTGGACCTCAACTACGGGCAACTTCAATTCCGACTAAAACTGCGACAAAACAAATGGAGCTAATTCACATGTTCAATAATCTACTTTGCCATAAAGGAAGATTGTTTATTAGGACTTGGTTTAGTGCTTTGCCTTAATTGGACGTCTTTACCTACTCAATCTGAGCATTTTCTTTACCACGAAACAACATCTATGAGGAAACCATCTATAAATGCGGCAAAGATAAGATTTTGGTATCAAGACTTTTAATAATTGAGGTCGAAATATAACATTCAAGTATTTACGCTGAATTTATTAGGATGAAACATCATCAAGAAATTACCTTCTTGATAGGTTACATCTCTACTATGAGTACATCTCTACAATAGGTCAATCATAATTAAACATTGTTCTAGTGTAACTTTTCGCTTGCTATAAGCGGTTGACCAGTAGTTCTCATTGTCTTTGCATTGCTTAATCATGTAAAGCCATAGTTTTATCAGACGTAACTACAGAGGAAACTGATTAAGGTACATAGAGACGAAACGTAACTATAATTATAATAAACTTCAGTGGACCACGTGACACTCCTCATGTCGTTTGATGCGCAATGCCACTCATGACTCTGAGCTCCAGGCATGGCTTGAAACTAGTCGAGTTACATCATAAAACAGTTGCCTACTTGAGTAGGTAAGCCGTGAAACGGTTGAGAATTCCTAACGACTTTGCTCTTTCTGCTAAAGTACCATGAACATGGTAACCATGTACTGTTAATCTCACCATTTTTCAGTACGAGGGAGACGAGTCGAAACAGTTCGTACTCTACGCGAGAACGGTATCTGGTGAGTGAGGCGTGAATATGTGTAAGTAAAGGACGTCTACCTTTGCTATCCTTAAACAGCAAAATATTATTGAAGTGATTGACTGACTTAAACTAAAATACTGCAGAGCCGATGGATCATGTATTCACCCGATAACACGGATAAAATGCTCGGCGCACTTTGGTTATGAGGGAAAAAAATGATTTCGATATACCCCACTTAGTTACCCACACCTTTTTCTTCCTGCGAAATCTTTTAGAACGTTATCCTTTATAGATTGCTGCAAATGTTACTGGATGTTATGTGGGGTTCCGTGCTATTCTATATACTGTGTATCCGTGGAAATTACGTGTAGGATTGAGAACCGAGCGAACCACCACAACATAGGTACATTACTGGAAAGAACCATTTACCAATATGGAATTCAGGTCATCTATGCAACTAGCTTTACATACATCGCAGTTCTTAAATAATCAGGAAATTTTATTAGGTTCCGTTCTCTACATACCATAAAACTGGTCTCGTAACAGTTATGTCTTCCCATAATGCCTGGAGTAAGCAGTTTCAATTGAAACTACCTACATGCTGTAAACGGGTCGTCTTGATTGTGTGGCATAATAGATATACTGTAGGGTACATTTAGGTCTTACCTAACGACCAGAACCAGATCCGCGAGCGCGCTTCTGAGAGCCATCAGATCACCACAGATAGCCGGGTTTGTGGGTCAAGCACAATGACATACCGTGGCCCGTTTTGGAGCAGGAATTGGAAGGGGTTGGTTTTTAGTCAGTAAGAAGTCTGACACTTTCTCTCGCCTAACCCAGGGCGGAAGGAGTCTCAATGATTTTCCTCCCTCAAAAAAGGGTACATTTAGTATACGTTAGCGACTTCACTTCTTATAAATTAAGGTCAACGTTCAATAGAACTTTCCACTTCATTTATTTTTTCCGTAATCAAGCATAACACTTCTACTTCTTTGAAAACTTTGATGACAAACTGAGGAGTCCTAATACCTAATTCAATAAAAAGATACATTTTTTGCTGCACTTGCATTTACACTGTGACACAAATCTATCAGTTTGACGTGTAATCAGTAGTACAGTATACTACCTACTTAAGCTTACCTTTTAAATGGTAACTGGCCTCGTGAACTTGCTAAAAATTGGTAATCCTGCCCTAAGTCATCACAATTTTTTTAACTTAAATACCTAATATGCGATCAAGTTACAAATTCGTCATCGGTAGTTGTTGACTTACTGGTACATGAAATATTACAACTTCTACCAACATTTTGACTATACTACGTGGCGCTGCGGTCGTTTATTGCACATTGGCATTACAACCATCTTCAATCAATAAAAAGCGCGCGTGTATGTTTGTGTGTGTGTGAATGTGTGTAGTTTTAGGGACCAAAATGCTAATTTCCGAAATATTAAAAACTACGACTCATAATAGATATCATGTAGGCATGACTTTGTTGCTTCGAAGAATATTTAAACTAGCATTAGCTTCGGAGTTGCGGAGGGACCTAACGGGTTACCGAGGCTCCGGCTCGACGTGCAGGAGAAGGAACGGGGTGGTTTTTAGTCAGTAAGAGTGACACTCCCTCCCGCCTCACCCAGATGGGAGTAGTCATTCGATGATTTTCCCCCCTTAAAAAAAACTAGCATTAGCTAAAAACTTACCTATGTTATAACTGGATTTATTTTCATACTAGTGAGATAAATACAATATCAATGTAAGATCATATTCTTGGTAGATCTCATTTTTGAAACAGTAAGAAATTTATATAATATGTAAGTAAAAAGGAATAGTTTGACTTTTAGGTAAAAGTTTATCTAATAAAAAAGTGAGTGCGTACCTCTTCCGAAAAATTACACATCGAACAACATTATTATGTGATCCCGCGACATATTTCTTATGCAGCAGCAGTAGACCAACTAGCTCCTGCGACTTGCACATAGCTGTAACAGTTATAACACATGAGTGTGAGTGAGTGCGTCAATATTACGTCCTCTGTATAAAAAGACTCCCTAAATTCTTTGGCTTTCAAATTATTCCTTTTCACATTTAACAAATGGGTAACTGCAACCCCCAACGAACACATGTATAACACTGCATACGGACGAATCTGTAGAAAAGAACACCTATCTAGCAGAGGAGTGATGATGGCAGCCTACACATCGAGTTCTAGAGTTTGCACCGATTTGCTATTGCGGTCCTTTACCAACTTTAGTCATTTGAGTTATGTACTGCAATTACCATGCTTTCTGAATAGTATTAGGATAATTTCTCATAAACAACGTTTTACTGGATTGAATTAGTTTGTCAACACTTAGTTATTGAATGCTATATACCTACACTCGTAACGCAACTTAGTTCCCGTTGTTGTCATAAATGCTTCTCTGATTTCATATTATGCTTTTGTCACTCAAACCATGTCTAGGTTTTTAGCTATGTAAATAACGTCTTAATTTAGTGGAATTGGATAGATGACTTGAATTCCCTAGCTGGTTGAACGAAACCGCAATTTGAAGTATGATCAAAATAGCCACAGGCATCAAAATTGCAAACTAAAACAAAGAGTTCGTTTACATGACAAAAAGACAACCACGAAGGCACCGAGTGAATACAACTACTATACTATACTCACTTTCCTAATATCCTGTTTTATCTTAATTAATTATAAGCATCGAATAATTAGTGATTCTCGCTTGTGAATTTGTCACTGAAATGTTAATTCCAACCATAATTAATTGATAGATGATCTA